TTGACGAAAAGTCGAGCATCAAGTTAACCTGTTGCAAGTCTGGGCATTTGAATATTTATGTGCTTGCAAAAGGAACTAAACAAAGTCACATTTTTTCAGATTGACAACAAGTTGTCCATCGAGATTTCATGCATGGCAAGCGGCTTCAATCTTATATGGTAGTGAAGGTCCTTAGTGTTGAGAGAATCAAGACATGATTAAGCTGCGCCTCCGTATCGTGTCATTTACTAAGCAAGTCAGTGAACTTGGCCTAGCGAAGTCATCCGCATTAAGTAGTAGTCGTATTATATCCGTTGTAGCGAATGTACCATTAAAGTCTTGAGGTCGATTTAGCCTAACTGAATAAGCTTATCAACCGTCTCCAGGCTAACATTGCCGAAAGTTGCCTTCATTCAACCAAACGAAAAGTGAAGGTTGTCCTAAAATGGCAATAACTTCGAATCGGCGGTACCGCGTGAGCTATATAAAGCAGCCCAATACTTCAATGTGCTTCTCCAGTAACCAGATAGGTGGTTCCAGTTTCCTCCATTCATATTGGAGTATAATATGTCGAAACCTTCTCCTAATGGTCACAAGGCCATGGGAAAGAAATCCAATGCCATGGCATCCAGCGAGGCTCGTTTGATGTGGCAACTGTGGCTGCGATGCCCTCGCGTAGACACTGTATATGCATGGCGTCAATGAAGGCTTTTGGTACAGTAAGCCCAAGACCACCCTCTTTAATACTTGTGTATATTTACTCTTGATAAAATTTGTCGGGGCGAGCTGATGACGCACTTGCGTCACTTGCGTTGCAAAAAATGTATTATAACGTCAATTTGCTTCAGAATAGACAAAGGTGCCATAGCAACACTTGTTAAGTACCATAGCACCGACAAGATGACACTTCGCAGTATTACAACCTTTCCTCATGGCGTTCTTTCACGATAACTCAAAAGAATACTCCTATCCTGTATCATCGTTTTTACCACGCTATATCGTTGTTCAGGTGTAACAGTTGCTCCTTGTATTACACCAAGTAGCCGTGCTGTTTTCCACGGTGACAACACTTCGCCTTCGTAATTCTGCGAGCTTATGATTGGATATATGATGCAAAAACGGCATGATTTTTTTTTGCAACATTGAGCCGTAAATCAGCATTATCCGCACAGTCTTAAACGAGACCAAGAATCCCATCGGTGTCGTCGAGATTAGACAACTGTCCAGGCCAGTAACAGATGGGGCATTTCTGTGTCGTCTGCAGGTACGCCTTTCGAAGATAGCTTCGCGAGGAGAAAGTCTAACATTGGCTCGATTTATACAACAAAGAGACCAGGTGATAAAGGTTCTTATTGTCTAACACCTACGCCTAGTAAAGGGGGGGGGTTCATTAAAGTAGCCATTAAATAGAAGACTGAGGAGTTGCTCTTTGTAAAAAGTCTTCACCCATACACGGAAAGTCGCAACAAATCCGAAGTGGTGAAGCACCATACCCAAAGCAGGTCAGGCATTATTTATTGCTTGGTAAGATTGACGAGTATCCGGAAACTCTGGTTTGCAGATTTCCTGCAAATATTGAAAGCGAAGTATTGAGTGACGGATAGACCACCCTGAAACAAAACCACTTTGGTCTTCGAAGATGATAAACTGTAGAACTTGACCCAAGGGCCACTGTAGGACTTTTGGCCCCAGTTTGGCGTCGTGATTGAAAAGAGTAAGGGGTCTTTAGTTGTCAGGTACCGTGCGATCACCGGACTTGTATAGTAGGGATAGGTGAGCCCGTCTTTGAATCTTGGTCATTTCCCGTTTACTAGGTATCAACTAAACCCAGTTTTTCGAGCCAATCGTCAACTTCGTCCCGACCTTGTCTCAGATGACGCCGACCCACAGCTGTCTGGCCCAGGCAATCATGTATAGTAATGTTGAACTTGACTACAACTATGTATTGTCAACCGCATCCACTTTGCGGCATATTGCCTCGAAGTGAACAGGAAGAGCTCGAAAAAACTTCCACGAAATATGGGTTCATCAGGTGCATACACTACGTATAAGTACACTTAATCGCCTCCAAGAGTTGCTCAAAGTAATAAGTAATGCATGCGTGATTCTATACTGTAGACGCTAGCCGTGAGATCAACAACCTAGCCGAATGGTAAGAAATACGACAACACAAGTCCCACTCCATGCCGCCCGTTAAATGTTGGGACGTGAAATCAGCCCAAAAGCAGCGTGGTCCAGCGTCCGCTACGTGAACAAAGTACTCGTTGGTATGCATAGAATCGCCATAGTGAGTTTTGTCTCTTCAGACGCAACCAGCTGATACATAGTGAGTGAGGCTTTGTTCACCCCATTTGTGCTGAGCGAAGTTTTATTTAGGCCCAAGTCTCTAAGTGTTGAGGGCGTTTGAAATATGATAACGCGGTCTTAACCGTAGTGGATAACTCCAGGTCGCTGAGGTACTCATGCGCCGTGGAAACATATGAAGTCGTGGTAACGTGATCACGAAGATGTTCAGCAACATCTGTATGCGCGATGTACATCAAAACAAGACGGCTTCACAACAAATATGGATAATGTCGAATCCTCTTTGAAGCCAGCTGTTGCCGAAGCAGCGCTTGTACCTTCAATGGATCAACGTAGAACGACGGCGCGAAGATCATCAAGAATAAGTCGCTTATTGCGCAATAAAAAGCTGCATCCAGTGCCCCTTCTTCCAAAAAAATGCTTTGAGTAGCGCACCAGAATTAGGCAGCTTGTCACCAAAACGAGAGCGTAAGTGGTACAAAAAGTCTACCGGTTGTTCAGTCGAAATCGGTAGTGCACAAATAGTGCGATAGATTGCATGATATGTCACTATTGCTGCTGCCGTTGAAGAGAGATCTTGAATAGCTGACGAAAGTACGCAGGTTGCGCTTAAATAGTTGCCAACACATCTTCATTCGATGTGAAGGTCGCGATGATTTTAGCGATAATGTTGTCGAGCTCCGCTGACTTTGAGAGGCATCCGGCGTGCTTGTTTGAGTGCGACAATTGAGGACATAGGGAGCGGAGACGTGTCGGTTGTAAAACTGTGGGTCTCCTCACATTCTTTTGACTCGCCAATACACAGATCAACATCCGGTGGTAACGAGATATCACAACCGTCCACAACTACAGCTTTATAGTAGTTGGGGTGTACCGGTGATGAGTAGCTTAACGCGGACGAGACCTGAGTGTCGATAGCTAGGTCACATGGAAAAGGCGTTCCTGGCTCGATAGACTTGCCGCCATTGTGATCAAGTATTCCATATTTTGAGTACTGTATCACCTTTTATTCATGTGCATCATCAGGCACTGTACCAGGGCTTACTGCAAGAGCCCGTGATCTGGCCGACCTTGATGCAGTTAGGCCGCGGTGAGCTGGTTAGATTACACACCAACTGGTGTGGTACTACATGGCTTGTCCGACGGCGATGGAAACACTAAATCAAAAACCGATCCCAGGGCAATATCCGGTGTTATAGTGACAGGCGAGTGGCTCAGTTTCGCAAAGCCAGGCGAAGAATCCACATGTGGGACAGCAGCAGAGTATACATGGTATCGTTGCATCCTTCCATTTGTTGGAATTTAAAGTCCCGACCATAACATAATGCAGGTACAAGTCTGGAAGGAGAACGGAAGTCAACATGTCAACCACCTGTATACTTGGGTATACAGACGTCAAAGACGCCAAACACTAGTTTTGGGATTGTCATGTGGCTCGCTATCAAGAATTTATTATCTTGAGCCTCTCGAAGAGCTCATTGAAGAGAATCTCGATTGGATTTCAGTCTACTTACGCCTACTCTATGGGAACTTTGCTATACAAGTGGTACTCAGCATCATTAGATGTTTTGTTCTTGGCGCCCTATGGCTACATCAAAACAAGACGCTGTGCAATACTGAAACTTCGGCGGGTTTCTTATGTAACCATGCTAGAGCGTACCTAGAGTTGCACAACCGCAATATTACAGAAACTGCTTTAAGGACAACAAAGCCTCAGCTTACAGCACTGATCAGCACAATATCAAGCTCTTTACAACTACATACAACGTGTAGATCGGATATGGAAATGGACTTGGTCGCTAAAACTGATTCGATTCACTACATTCATTTGGCCGTGACCATGACTATGCATACGACTATAACTTTATCTTCGCTACAACTACGACTACAAAAACGACTTCATGCAACTAAAAATCATGACCATTCGGGTCTATGAATGTTATTGCGAGGACAAATTAACTTGAGCACGTTAGTGTGCTATGTTGCATTATGCTGGGGGGAAATAGCGTGGCACGCCGAATCAATTATCCGGCTGGATCGAGACCTAGATCGAGTTAGTGGGACTACCTGACATCTTTTGGGAATTTGGTTACGGGAACTAGAGAAGATTACCATCGCAATATGGATCTCCAGTAGTTCGTGGACCACAGTCCAGACCAAGCACTTTACACCGATGCACTTTATTGAGCGCCCATCGACAGCAATTATCCAATCTTTACCTTATCCACTCATAAATACTTTTCAGCGCCCAGTATTGACTTCGCTTACAAAAGTCAAACTCGTGAAGTAGAGCTTCGGATGGATAGACCTTCCGCTGTTTCTCCATGAGGAGTACCTTACTGAATCAACATAGCAAATTTTCAAACAAAACAACTTTTTGCACCTTACCGGCGTATGTTTCTCTGCGCACTTGGATTTATGGCCGTAATCAGCCACCGGGGCAATTTGCTACTGGTCACTGACATGGCTGTTGACATGGCCGCCCACATGTCTGTATGCAGGAATATGCATACTTTGCCTTTAATTTTCTCTATGAATGAGGTAAAATAAAGTTGTTGAAAGTAATTTATTTTGCTTGTAAATTAATAATTCTTCAGCGCAAAGAATTTTTAAATTAAATACGTTCTCCTTGCCGAAATTTCACCTGGTTTTGTAAATTTGTAGGTGGACCTTTGAATCAATTTCTGATTTACCTCAGCCCAGAGAAGATCGCCGTGATGGACCATCTAAAGGAACAGAGTAAGAAGGCCAGCGACAAGCTTGATGATATCGCCAAGAAGACACGAAAGGAACTTAAGAGGACTAGCGATAAGCTTGATGATATTGCCGAGAAGACACGAAAGGAGCTTAAAAAGACCAGCAAAAAAGCACAAGAGAGTATTGATAAAGTTACGAAACAAGGCAAGGAAGCCTCTGCGACTGCCACCAATGCCTTCAAGACGTCGGCTAAGGATGCTTTCTACATCGACGTTAATATAGACAAGAACAAGAATAAAAGTTCGAGATCTCGCCGTAAGGACTCAAGTGATACAGACAGTGATGAGGAGGACGGCCTGCTGGACGACATTGGCGATGAACTTGACCAGCTCACGCTCAATCAGCGTGCATTGGGTGCTGTCGGATGCTACGTGCTTAGCGGCTTTTTTGTCTTTGTCGCCACCTTGATGTTGCTTACAGGCGTGCACCACGTGCGCTCTTATGCGCTTTTCTATTCACTCAGCAACATCGCCACCTTCTGCAGCCTCATTTTCATCATGGGCCAAGACCGTCTGACCAAGCGGATGCTCTCGCGTAAGCGAAGCTTGTCGGGTCGTGCCTGGCTAGCTTCACTGGCACTAACCCTTATTGTGGCTATGTTTTGGCCCCGTCATTGGTTTTCTGTCCTCGTGCTCCTGCTCCTGCAGTTTGTAAGCATGGTTTGGTACAGTGTGTCGTACATTCCCTTCGGCCGCAAATTTCTGCACAAGTATATGGCCAGGAAAGTCATTATCGTGGACGCTATGGATGGCAAGATTGACGGTAAGTAAATATGTGATTCAGATAGCTTAATTGGCTACAAGTTCTAGTTACCATTACATTTATTACGATCAATCATGCATGTAAAAGTGAAATGCCGTCACCATAACAATTCTGTAGTAGGGATGCCTCCGATTTTTCTATCCTCTTACTACCTAACGCTTGGAATGATCTACTAGCCAAGTTACAAGATCGTGTACGACAGCATCGCGAATACGAGGTGGTTCACTAGCCAAGTCGTGATGTCCTCCTTCATACGTCTTAAATGTTTTGTCAATGCTACGCGTCTTGACGTAAAGTGCTGCCGAGCCTGTGACGTTACAAACTCGGTCCGCTGTGCCGTGCTGTAGCAAGTATGGTGTCTCGATTAAGTGCAATTTGTCCTGGATGCTAGTGATCCCCTTAAGCAATGCAAGGCCTGTGCCAACCCGCATTTTTCCCGGATAATACAGTGGATCCGACAACTTGTCTGCGTTGGCAATCGCCGCCACTTCCGGAGAACTGTTATTGCCGTTATTTGCTTTTACCAATGGAAGTTTAGGCGCATACTCTTGCAGCAATCGACCGATAAGTTCCATCAGATACGACGGCCGCGATGCCTTATGAATTTCCGTTGGTGGGCATAGAATAACGGCGCCATCAACTAGCTTCGGACCGCATTTACTAAGCGCATGAAGAATTATCAGTCCACCTAGCGACCTAGCAGATACATATCAACGCACAATTAATACACTTCACCCCTTTCAACAGCTGTAGCTACGTACGCGCCAAGCAAGAAAACCTTCTTGTGCGAATACATATTCTTTATAAGTTCTACAAATGCAATGGCGTCGTCCACCAAAACATCTACACTAGAAAAATAGCCGTGCCTTCCATCGCTGCGGCCCATACCTTCATGGTCCATACCAGCTACTAAAAAGCTATGTTGGAGCACCTCCACCATAAATTTATTGTTGCGGGCACTGTGCGAGTTTACACCATGTAGCATAATAACGATAGCTCTGGCGTCCTTCGCACTTTCTAGATGTTTCGGCAGCCAAATACGATAGAATAACCGAATAGTCTCTCCATTAGGTCTCGGTCGCTCAAAAAACCCCGACTCCTCGTTTCCGATTCGTACGTGAGCGAGCAGAAATTCCTGATGTGAAGCAGCATGCGGAAGCCATCGTCGTGTATTTCTCCGATCAATTCCAGGACCAAATAGCCAAATGAGCAAGAAGATGCACACAGACACAGAGATAATGAGCGTTAGAAGCGCGAACAATGCGGTACTAGGGCTCCACATCGCTCCAGTTGTATCATAAAGACGGAAACAAAAAATCAAAGTTAAAATTGATTATATTTGGGTGTGTTTCTCATACTTACTTTGAACACGATAAATTGTCGTAGTTAAGCCCAGCATTTCCCATGTAGCACGCTGCATACGTATCTCAAACTGTAAAGCAGATTATACCGTGGCTGATTAGTCGTGCCTCTAAACTTCTCTAGTTCTAATTTATTCAATCGTTTAAATGTCATGAGACGGATCACAACAGCATCAAACTTTAAGACTACGAGGAGTTATAAGTGAAGGACTTGAGCTCTCAACACTTAATGTTGCTGATGCGCTGCTAAGAAGCCCCGACATAGAGCACAAAACAGCTCAGATTACTTTGAAAGATCTTTTTGGAACCGCAGCAAGTCGGGAGATTGTTGCAGCCATATAAGCATCGCGACCCGTTTTAGGGTCTCTCTTTGGATAATATGGTATCGGCAATGTCGTAGGACACACAAGTCAAATAAATGTTCTCATCCCTTATTTTGCCTAGACCAAGTCTCCTGATTTTCTCCTTCTCTTGCTTCATTAGCCTTTGGCTCATATGAGATTTCGGTAACCATAAGGAACAACACATACGTTTCAAAGCTCAGAGGTACCAGAGTACTGGTACTGCAGCCTAAGAAAAATAGACTATAAATATAGTTAAAAAAGTATGAGTTCAGCTCACCAGACCAAACTGAATACCGGACTCGTTAACGTCAAAAGATTCTTAGGTGAGAAGTGCACGACAATCTCGTTTTAATTGGTAGCACTTGTCTCCAATATGACGACCGTATCGCGAAGAATCCGTTATGTTTGCGAGGATGAACACGAATTGTCCGACATTCTGTCCTCGGTGTTGAAGTTTGATGTGCCGCGCCTCGTGTTTGGACTATGTTCTGCATATTGAAGATTATCAATCGCCACACTAGCCAAAGCAGCAGATTGGCTTAGTCGTTTAGCGAGGAGAATCCAATTGATTGGGCATGTTTATGGTATTTGCCAACTCAACACTTAAGCTAATTTCGACTTGTCATTGTAAGCGGGTATTCGAGGTTCACCTGGACTTGTCCTTCCCAAAAAACGCCCCCCACTATGCAGTCAGCTTTTATATTGCATATGATACAGTGAAGTGACTAGCCAGATATATACAGTATAAACATAGGATGGAAGTAGGAACGATGGCTTCCAGCCATAACTCCTAACCCGCAATAATAGCGCACACTTTGATTTGTCACTTCGATAGCAAAACATTCAGGCAGCTCTACTGTAGTTAAAGTCATTACTCGGCACAGCTAATTCTGCTAAATGAGCTCATATATACAGTTGGTCTCGACAGAATCCAGGTGTGCCGTGGGCGTTCTTTGGTTACCACTCCTGTGGGATGACACGGTAATAATTGGGTATGCTCTTGGGTTAAAAAAACGCTCTAGCGAGGGCTGATGAGAAGGCGGCGGCATGTATGTTACGATATGAAAAATCACTAGTTGTGTATGCGAATATTGAAGAATGTTTCATTTTCGAGATTCAGTGCTGTGGTAGTTTTTATACTTGGTCGAGCCCGTCTTCATGTGCTTGGTCAGTTCCTACAAAATCATAGTATGGGTATTGCTCACTTACTACCGTTACAAGTACACAAAAAACTATCAGGATTAGCGCTTTCTTTATTTCAATAAGTACCAAAAGACGTGAAGTGGTCATAAAATATTGACCACCACAGAACTTTGATATCATCTACGCGACTCCACAAGGAGGTTCTGATCTTTGCTGCCAAACACTCGAAACCAATATACGTTGTTTGTGATGCCTGTGATTGCTTGATCAACTGTGTGCTGATGTGAGTCGACATTCAAGGGTGCCGGCGCATCATTAGCTATTAATCTCGACAGATCTAAACATCTAGGAAGAATTAAATAGCTAATGAAAAGGAGCTGCGTACCATGACGTATGCGCGACTGACAAGTAAAAGTTTGCAATTTGCATGGACGACGCATTGCTGAGGAGGACAACCTAGCAACCGCACCGACCTGAAAGAATGACCCAGTTGTTCTAATGATTGTCTCAATGCGAATTAGTCGAACATTGCATGCCCAGAAAAAAGAGAGTGGTCGCTGGTACGCTCTTTCGTCTAGTGATTTCATAGTTCAACGACCGAATAGAAGATCTTTTTGTTGAACTTGTCTCAAAAGTATCGAAGATGCTGACACATCGCTCCCACATCACTCCCCGACACTATCTGCAATCCAGATATTTCGTTCCGAAAAGCTGATTAGCTATTTAAGCGAATTCGTGAGATCGTAATCGGATCGACCTTATCCCACAGTGTTTCCGCCTGGATTCATTGACGCGAGGAGTATAAAAATGATCTCCTTCGACTAGGACGTTTTTACATCCTTTATTTTGATGGTACCTCGGTTGTGCAACGGTATTGTTTATCGCGTCATTATCACCGACCTCAACAGTACAGATGGCCACGAAGAGGGATTGCCCCTTTTAGCGTCTAGTTCCGCAGATACATTCCCAATTGAGGGCACGTATTTCCCAGCAACTGCTGGTCCAACCACAAACAGTTGCTGTAAGAAATGGTGGTCTGAAAGGAATGCTTGTGTTTAGAGCCTTTCCTACGGCGCGGAGGGTACATTTTTATGGAACAAAAATAATCTCACGATCTGGTTGACTGTCACTAAGACTTTTGCGCTTGCAGTAGGGCGGGATGTCATAGCACTTTCCGCCATAGGTCACGAGCTAGGCGCTGATTAAAAGAAGGGTCGAATACCTGGGGCGTCATCATGAAACACTCGTCTGCCACACTGAACAAAGCTCACTTCAAGTCGTCGAGCGGAGTTGCTGCCTTCTGGGTGGCTTGTCGAGCGCTCAAGTGGGCTAATGTTTACCGCTGTTTCAATATTGAAGCTTGGCTAGGGGCTGCATCAACAACTAATGGAGATGAGCAGAGCTGTTGACAGCATGAGTTTGAGGTGGAAAGTATGTAGCTTGACAGTCACGTCATACTTTGTACGTAGCAAAGTCAGCCATGAAACGATATCCAGTCTGACACTAAAGCTGGTTAGTAAAGCTGCGAAATAGATGAGGCGACATGCCTTGTCCACCTAATGTGCGCATTGAAAACGATACTTTTCAGCTCTTTTGCCAGTGCTGGCAGCGGTGTCTGACCACTGCTACTCCATGCGCATGTGAACCCCCAAGAAGCAATTATCTTATGTTCAGAAAGCACTCGTGGAGCGACTGCGAGTAAGGCATCAATAAGTATCTAAGATCCCGCCAAGCCACGGCGGGCAATTTCGATGGATCGAAAGATCGAAAACACGACTTGATTGGCCTGCAAAAGTTGTGAAAAATCTATATATTGCAGATGGGTACTGAGCAGGTTTGGTTTGTCAGTTCCGCGGCGAGCTTTCATTTCACAGAACATATGCACGGGGTGCGCAGCTTGTGAAGAGAACGGAGAGAGCGAGGAGAATGTCTAGCCCTTTTTAAATTGCTCAATATAACTCTTGGTGATGGCGAAGATGCCGGCCGCGATGGTGGTGCATTTCTCAGAGGTTTGTTAAGCCATTTTGGCGCTTAAGAGAAACAACCCACGATACAGATTACGCTAATAAGAGCAGGCACTGTTAGGAGCAGTGGTGGGAGAAGACCCCCCCCCGGCGCAGAGGCTGCTTGGAATGCTCACTGTAGCATAAAGCCATCAAAGACAAGATGATTAAAACCCATGCCTTATACACATTTTGATGGAGGGGGACTGACGGGTTACACACCGGATAATGGTAAATGCACGCCTTTCAACTATTGTTCCTCACAACTCAGAGTCAAGCTTAGAAGTAAAAAATCATGATACTTCGATGAAGTATGATGATAAGCACTCGTACGGATGAGGGAAATGGTGCTTCGGGAAGAAAAGTACCGTAGATCTAGCCGCTCGCTATGCAGTAAATCATATTTTGTTATTTGTAGTTTCTTACTGAATATTTTATCCATTTCTGTTGCAAAATAACTTACTTATCTACAAATCAACAGTCTCGGAAGTTTATCACTAGAAGTGTGCGTGCTACACAAAATGCTCCGGCATCTACTAACCCAAATACAGAATTACCTCGCCGAGCCACTAGAGCTGCAGATTTCATTTACTCTGGTGAGTCAGACAAGAAAGTAATAATTTTTTAATTTTTGATTTGGTTGTCATGAAGCGAAAACGGCGGATCTGCATTCGTTAAGCCTGATAGACCGTCAACACAACCATCATGAGCGACTAGATCTTGGTCTGAGCCAGAATAGTCGTTAAGTTTTTTGTACCTTGTTGAATACGAGTGAGGATCATTGCTCATCTTTTGCATTGTAGTAGCTCCTCCGCAATTCTGCGTAGTTATCAAGGAAAGCTTGTCCAACCTTGCATAATGGGCTAAAGATGACTCAACACTGTGAATTTTGTTGCTCAAATCTCATACGAGGGTTGATGATCCAAGATGCTAGTACATTTCAAGCCATGGCGTATATGCTGATAGTTCTAACACTTGTGCGACTATATTGTCGCGGACGTCAGAAAAGGTAAAACCACCTTCAATATAACGGACTGATAGGCATTTAACGAGTAAAAGCCAGCAAATAATCCTAAATCAGTAGAAAATAGACACATGGCTGTAATAAATATTAAAGAAATCACAGGAATTCAGTCCTTAGTGGATGACAGATGTCCGTTTGCTCCAGCTGCAGAGCTTTCTGGATTGCCTCTTACCGTTAGCATGTTGGCAAACACTGCAATGTCAGCAATAGCGACACAATCGAGGCTTACTTTTAATATGAACCTATATTTGAGGTCAGATGAGACATCTCTGCTCTGCGACTTGGATTGTACTGATATATGTGATTAACATCTGCATGGATTGAAAGGCTACTTGTAATACCGGCTCTAACCTGCTAATTCGAGAGTAGAAGAGCCTGGTTTCAGAATTTTCCCCGCAAGTGAATAGACTATTGATTGTCGTATTGTGAGAGTCACGGCACCAAAGTATATAAGATTTGTTACAGCATAACCAATATCAGTACTTTAGGCGGTAACGTTAAAAAGGAAAGCATCATTTGAAGCCTGTACCATCCCATTAACAGCATTCTGCCATTTGCGACGAAGGGCTCAAACTAAAATTGTTTTTAATCAATTGAATCACCGTGTTGCGCGACATCTTTGCAAGTTGTGTGGGCTGCTTGTGGGGCTCAAGCCACTCTTCATTTTCATCAGACAGTTACTGCAGTATGGCCGGTCAATTGCGCGTAGCTGTCATCGGCTCTCAGACGTGCCATCCGGACACGCCGCGAGCTTACACTGTCTATAGAACATCCGTTAACTATAAGGGTCGGTGCTACCACCGACTTATTCGTTACCGTCGATTCTCGCACTTTGACAAGTTTCTTAAGCTAGCACCTGATGCTTCACGTCTTTCAGTGAAAATGCCACCGAAGATTTGGTGGAGTCGTAAAGCTTCATTGCGACAAGAAACAGTTGAAGCTCGTCAAGTGCTGCTTAATGAATATATGCAGCAGGTGTGCACTCGTCCTTTGACGTCCCACAGTAAGGAACGGCTGATGAAGTTGTTGCAGGTGGGTGATTACGCTCCAAATGAGGAGAAAGATCGAATTGTCGATAGCAGAATTAGCTTTAGACAACGTAGCACATCTCACACAGAACCCACGTCGGAATTGGTAGGCGAGATCTCCAACTTGACTGCGGGAGCGGAAGAGGAGGAAAACCAGTTGATCATTTCGCATCCGTCAGACAAGATAAAACGGTCGCAGGGTTCACTTACGGATGAGGAAGAGCCAGCTGCAGAGGAGCATATTGGACTGGATGTATCTGCCCATCGTCCGGATCCTCAGTCTTTCATCAATCCCGCGGCGGAAGATGCTGAACAACGAGATTATGCGCTATCGGCCCCGTCGTCGCCTTTGAAACAAATGAAGGCGCGGTCACTCAGCAAGTCATTGAACTCTCAAAATTTAAAGCGTGTAATGTTCAAGTCTGTCGCAGACCTTGATCTATTGGCTCTTAAAGAAGGAGAAAGGAACTCGACCTTTAGTGCGTCAGACTCATCAACACCTGAAAGTCGTTATTTAGAATCCATCAAGAAGTGCATTGCTGGTATCGAGGACATGATAAGCAGCAGCCGTCAGCTCGAAAATAATATTCGCGAGAAACAAACAGCCAACCGGCCAGTGGAAGCCGGAGCAAAGCAGCATTAGATTTAGTAGCCATACGTAAGACAGACGTTCGAAGTCGACGTTTAAGAGCTGTAGTGGAAAAGCCTTCAATTAAAATCGACTTACGTAAGTGTATTGTTTCCGTCGGTATCCTTTCAGGGCTGCAGTCTCATGGAACACGCAATTTGATTTGAAGTATTGATAAAGAAATTCAAAATACGCGTTTATGTCAACAGTAATGTCTCCTCTTGAAGTAGCTTATAGAAATTCGCTATCACTATCTTCTTGAATGGTGCTTTGCGTCATCTTTTCGCTCGCCAGAAAGCTTAGGTGCTGCAACATGCCAATGTGTTCTTGATCTGCTTCTCGTCTAGGCTTTGTGTCCAGTACGGCTACCGTTCCGAGTGCGTGGCCGTCACGCGAAAATATGGTCGCTCCAGCATAGTATCGAATCTTAACAGCTCCCTTTTCACCTTTAACCATAGGGTTCTCACGAAAGCGTTCGTCGTTCTTGGTATCCAGCACCACTAACACACTTGGCTGACAAATTGTATGTGCGCAGAAAGATAATTCACGAGGCAACGTTGTATGGGCCATGCCAATGTTGGCCACCAGATGCTGTTCTTCGTCTTCGATGATGCTCACGTAAGCGATCGGGCACTTCATGGTCTTGGCTGCAACTTCACAATACATGTTGAATTTGCCCGACGAACCAAGCTCACGGATATTGAGCTCTCGTAAGACAGTCAAACGTTCATCCTCGTCCACTGGGTACGGCGGTTCAGGCCATGGATTTAGCCACACGCCGCTACTGAGCGTGCTACTTCGATTGCGATCTGCAGCGGAGCCATTGGACGTTTTTCGACTCGAGTTCAATGAATGAAGACTATCGCCACCTGAGCGCAGAAATCCTGTCGAACCAGCCGCTGTGGGACTGTCAAGCGAATGGAACGCAACGCACGACACACAAACACGCAGGGATCGGGACTGGATACGATGATACAGCGAGCAGCTATTGCAGATGACTTCACCGCATGCTCTACAGTGATGTTTGCGTTTAAACATATTAAAACGCTTGTTACAAATATGACAGCTAAACCGGTCTTCATCGTTCACCCATGACGTGTGCTGAATCACATCAAGTCGGGGGAGAGCTACTGCCCGAGAGGATCGTGTGTTTCGGAATGACGACTTGCGGGACGGTATCCGCGACTTGGATTTTGGAGTTGGAATCATTTGTCCTTGGCTACCATGGGTATTGTGCATCTGCGATGCTCGGAATCCGCCCATAGGAGTAATTGAGTTAATCGACTGAGATTTTCGAATTGAGATGCGGTGAGACGCACGAGGCATCAATTGACTGCTCTGTTCGTCGACAGTATTGAGATTATGCCTTGGAAAGTCAGAGTTATATGTAAATACATCGTCCGAGTAGTTTGACGATACGTCTGATATTCCAGAACCTTCAATATCATTCGAGTGCGATGTCACGGACCGCAAAGATGATGAATTCGAAGAAGCCGTGGAGCTTTCGGTATACTTAGAAATGGGTTGCGTTCGTTGCTGCTGATGCTTGAGATCTCCAGGCTTTTTCTTTCGAGCAGTTTCCTCTGCCTGCAATTTTCGCCGAAACCTGAAACGACATTGCAGCATTCGCACAACAGCAAGAAAGCGCACAAACTTTTTCCGCTGCACCACTGTTCGCACAAATCCCTGCACTTTGCCTGCATTCTTTCTACGAATTAATAGAATCTGGCGCCGACGATGCAGTTTTCGAAGCTTTTTGAAACGAAATCGAAGCTGAAGTACTTGGATAGCACGAAGGTAGCGCAAATAACGCACACGGGCGGTTACACACAAGACAGCATGAAAGATCTTAACCATGTGTCGATGTAAGCGCTGCGTACGCGTATTTTCGAGAAACTCATAGGTCGGTTTTTTCATAAAAATTTTCGTATATCCCATCTGAATGCCCACGGAGCTGCATTTTGTTGCGAATTGACCTTGATCAGGTCGTTCACACGCGCCTTGAGGGTTTGCATCGTTCTCTTTAGGGATAATTTCCAGCAGACCGTACAGAAGCTCCTTGGCTTCCTTGCTAATGACTGCCATGTCATCGTTCAAGTCGAGATTAGGCACGCCAAATGAGCTTTTCTGCTGTTGACGTGCAACTGTCGACGTTTTTAAACTGAAATAACGGGCAACAAAGACATCAAGCGGTAGACGAATTGGATATCCTGCTCTAGCCACCCGAACAGCCTCCATCACACCATTGCACCGCAACTGATTCAACACACGATCACGCTCGTAAATCCCAGCCTTACAGACATCATTAGGCTTCAAACATCGAACGTAGTGCGGATTAGTCCGGTGCAGCGTTTCCAGTAAGGTCGTCAACTGCTCTTTAAACTGGAGTCCGACACTTGCTCCTCGGTTTTTGCTAGTTTGTGCACGTTGACGTGGAGATGACTTTAAGCGCTCCCTTGAGCCGCCTATACCTTCGCACAAAATGCGAGTAAAGCTGTCCTCTCGTGTGGAATAGGCAAGCATGTCCACTGCCTCTTGGTGAAGAACGTCTTTATTTTTTTCCAAGAACCCATCCGACGAATATTCCACGTGACCTGCGTAGTGTACAATTGTGAATAAACCACTCGCACGTTGAATACGAGAAGCTTCAAACCGAGGATGGCTGTCACACGCACGGTAAAGCTTGGAAGCCAATGTCGTGTCACTTCCTTTCGGCATGACACATTCTTCGTCAATAAGTGAAAGAATACCCGTTGGTCGCTGCGAGATGAGATTAACGCAGTCTTGATTATCGCAGAACTCAATGTATTTCCAGTCAACACCCTGCGATTCGTACTCGCGCTGTTCAGCTTTAAATACATAGTCGTTAAACTGTTGCTGTAAAGTCTCGTTAGCAAAATTTATACAAAGCTGTTCAAATGAGTTTTTTGGAAACACTTCAAACCCGAAAATGTCGAGAATGCCAATAAAATGAAGTCCACCTTTAGCTTTTTCACTGTCATCCATTCGAAGAAAATGATTGATCTTTGTCACCATCCAACTAAACAAACGTCCGTACAGGGCTTTGGCCAATGCGTCGCGGGCGTTGTTAGCCTGAGCTGCAGAAAGTTTCATTCGCACAAAGTCGGTACCAGCACGAATTCGTCGCACACTCAGAGCTAACTCGAGTTTTGTCGCGTCCACAGCCAGCAGTGTGGCTGCTGCGTCGCGTGACCAGATGCAGCTCGGTGCCAGGTCTGATTTGCCTTGTCCAGGTCCCGGTGACTGCCCTACCCTATCACAATTCTCATCGTGCTCAAACGACAAATTTCCGATGTGCATGAGTGCTGCGATTGTGTCAAAAATCCCAGCACGTTCTGTCAGTGTAAAGCCAACAATATCCATAGCTTCCATGACACGCTGAAACATCTCAGGGTCCTTAACACCATCATTTCGCTGATAACATTCGCTTTGGTTCAAATATCGATAATGCAAAAATTGGCGTGAGGCTTCTAAGACATCGCCGTGGTCTCCAGAAGGCATCAAGTGACCCTTTGGTGGGTCCAGAAACCAGCGCTTTCGATCATCAGCTTTTGCGCCAACCGCCATTTCATAAAAAATATGATAATTTCGTTCGCCTTTTGACTGCGAAACAAGCCGCACTTTCTCAAGCAAATACGTTTGAATACTGGCACCTGTAAGTCGACCACCACTGGTAAAGTGAAGCTTGATGAATTTGCCGAATCGACTTGAATTGTCGTTGCGTAATGTGCGCGCGTTTCCAAAAGATTCTAGCAGAATATTCGTTTGTAGGACCTTAGCTGCAATACCTTGTGGAGTTTTACTAATTACAGTGGATGCAACATGCGTCACTCCTGCTTGCGCTAAGTATTCCATAAGAAATTTCGTGCTCTCTGTTTTTCCACTGCCACTTTCTCCACTCACAAGAATGCTCTGATCACTCATAACACCATTTAGTCCAAGCATCATGGCTTTATATGCCTCTCCAGCCACTTTATAGATATGTGGAGGCATACGGTCGTTGCCTCTATTCTGCATAGTAGAGCTTCTTGACTCAAACGACAGTAGATACTTAGCCATCGTGTCTTTGCTGTAAATATTTGGAATCTTTTGAAATGGATTTACCGCTAGTAAAATGGCTCCGGTGTTTGTGTAGATCTTATTGTTGGTAAAGCGTGTGTCAAGTGCTGATAAAATTGTCGTCTCATCTAGCTCAATGAGTTGCGTGAGATCATCCACATCAAAGTGCTGACCCTGACCAGGAGAGATTAATCGCACGTCGGGTCCATCCTCATTCACGTCGGAAGAAACACCTCGTTCAACCACGCTACCATCTTCAAACCTGACGACAATCACAGCACCAGACGCATCGACGGGATTTACATAGCGGTCAATAATCTTAGCACGTTGCCATTTCTGTGGTCCTAACTGCACGTCCACCTCTGCACCTACATCCATTGTCGATTGGACACTGTGCTGGCCGCCTCGGTGATGCCTCTTGCGGTTGCGTACTGAATGGGAAGATGCTTAAGCGCTTTCGTGACTCTGCCGGACGGGCCGTTATTGTGTAAAGGAGTCAGTCAGTCGCCGCTATACTCGATCGCATCGAGTAGTGCGTGACTACTACCCACAACCATGCAATACAAATCCTAGAATCCAATACCCTTTAAATCCGATATCTATAAAAGTTTTGCACAATAGAAAATACGTTGACTGCACTACTGTTATCGGATATACTGTTTTGTAAATAAATATTTAACATGAAAAAAATGGTAAAAGCAAGAGATTGATGCCCAGTCTATGAGTCAGATTGTAACGAACTGTCTCCTAACTTCTGTATATGGAAAACAAAAAAACTGTTAAGCAAGTCCAGAAAGATTGGAATGTATGGCTTGTTTGGCAATGCAGCGCTTGGTGAGTTCCCGACAATGCACAAGTTTTTAGTACTTTTGCCAATTTTTACCCTAATTTTTCTGTCACTTTATGACGCGACATAAGTTGATCAGTGAGAAGATTGAAGCATAATTTACACATATCACTAAGTGGTTCAGGAGTGAATGAATGCAGGGCGACTGTCGAGGTCGGATTTTAAGTCTGTCGTCGGTATTGAAGGTATCAATGCATACCTACAGCTTAAAATGTAAATTTTAATTACGCACGCCACAACCGACTTTTTAGATATGTTGGAGGTTTCATGCACCTTCAGGAGATGCGACAGAAAGGCCTCAATAAATTCCAAGTAATTCATTGTGTGGATAGTTTTATCTTTGCTATAACAAATAAAACAGATGTAATATATAACAGAGACCTAAAGATGTGGGTGCTGTCGTTGTCAAGTTAACATCCAGTAAGCAAAACATATGCAATACTTCCAGATATGCTTATTTTCTCCTCATTTCGTTTCGTCGTGACCCGCAAAATGCAGCGCATGATTTACAGAATCCGGTGTTTTGCGCTCTTTTAAAAGAGATTTTCAATCTTTCACCATTACAAAAGCAATAAATCACTGCTACCTATTACATGCCATTACTTGTCTTAGCTAACAAAGTCAGGCATACTCAAATCCCAAGCTCTTCGTATCCTGTAATGTTTCCACACGTATTTGAAGTATAGTTTGAACTCTTCAACTCCTTTACTGTACTTTTAATGTGCCTGTCGTTGCTTGTACCTGTCAACATAAGTAACGAGACCAAAGACGACAGTGCGTGCTGTTCAATTTCTATGGATCACATCCAAGCGTTGACAATATAAGGCAACGTAGACCCGAGCAAAGCTTCTTGTTCTTTACTACTTATCAATTCGCATCATACTGTAGAAAGGTCACTGCAAAGCCTAGTTTACGTACAACTTGGCTACACAGTTTTTCGAATCTACTATGATATCCAATTCTATAAAAGTGCAATTTCATCATATTTTACCAACTTATACTATTAAAAAGATAACTTGTTTATTACACTCTTTCCCTATAGATATACCTTCTTCGTCTCTTTTCCGCTATATAAAAGCTCTTTCTCGTGCGGAACCAGTCTAAGCTCACGAACTGTAGTAAGAAAAGCAAAAAGTAAGGAGCCCAAGGTTTTTTGCGTAAGGACACGGACGACATTTTGTCGTCGGTACGAGTTCGACCGACACTTAAGGTCGTTCAATCCATTAAAGACGTTATATGGATTTGATGGAGACGAGGTATTTACAAGCACTTGACCGTCAGCTTGTACTACCTTTGTCACCACGAGAATCATCAAGCGGTAGTCCACTTGAAACTCTGCTTTGCTGTAATATGGCCACAATTTAAAGTCAGTTTAATTAAAAAAGATTCTACTTGAGACTCGATTTGCTTACATAATTTGCAGCAACTCTTGGATACTAAATAGCTCAACAGACGTCATGGGTATCGGCTGGAGCAGGACGTTGGATAAATAAAGGGAAAAGTGTGCAATTGAGTCCACGGGCGGATCCTTGGAATTTACTGTCCAAGGGGTGCATTGATTGCGTAGCTCACGATGATATTTCTGGATGAGAATATAAAGAAACATTGGGAATGGTCGATGTGTTTTCGCCTCGAACTCAGCTTCTACTGCACCCAACAAACATAATCGGAAAAAGGTCGTAAGAAATCGTGAATATTGTCATTCTGGAAAGAAAAATCGGTTTTCAACCAACCTGCATCGTTAATGTCTGCTAGAGTAGGAGCAGATATCGATCCCAAAGCAGCCATATCGTTTTGTACTCGTTTGCGAATTTGCTGCATTGCAGTCTTCAGCTGTGCAAATATCACTACATACTGCCTCGCAAGCCACTGAAAATGAAAAGCTTGCCGCCTTACTTGGTCCTCAGGATCCAGAAGCTCAAGCCCCACCAAACTCTTGCGACTTCGGTTCGACAGAAACTCAAAGTGCGACGGATCATCCTCGAGTCTTTTAACCTCAAAGAGGCGATACCTCATCACTTCTGCTGGTAGAGATCGAAAGGTCCCATCCAGTTCTTTGTACCTGGCGTCTAGTCCTTCTGCAATTATCCTCAATTTATTTACATCTTGCGAGCTGAAGCGAGCACCCTTTCGCGCGCCACACATCAACAAAATCTGCCAGATCAATTAACAACACTAAACCATTTTCTCTCGTCCTTTTGTCCAAGTATTAATGTCGTTATGTACGTACGTCATTCAGCACATGAAGGTAAATTCTCTCCGTTGAGCTGCTCAAATTTAATGCTTCGCTTTCCTCAGGTGTCGGTTTGTGATAGCGTAAACCATCGATAAAGCGCAACATCTGGGTCGGCGGCTTCACATGATATGCTGCGTCATCAAAATTCTGTGGCAAGACAGCATCAATCGTAAAGATACATATCGTGTAATTAAAAGTTGCTGCACCTCAAATATTGGCTTCTTGACCACTTTGCGCAGCGCTACGTCTGGTAACACAAAGCGTCCACTACCTGTGGTGTGGGCACTAGCCAGCTGAAAAACAGACTTTGGTCGCGTTATCGAAAAGCTTGCATTTATGTCGATAGCGTCAAGCGCCGTCGCCAGCTTTGCATCCGTGTGCGTCATCACACAAGTGAAGTTCTCGGAACGTACGGTTTGCACCTGGACGATGAGGTCTAAGCTTTCTGTTGGCTGTAAATAGATTTTGATGCAATGTGATTGAGTCATAGTGTATATATTCCGAGAAAATTACTGATAAGTATGGGCAAGACGCTGATCGTCGGGGGTGGCTTGACGGGCGCTGCTCTGGCACGACTGATGCAAGAGGCCAAAATTACGGCAGGATATGCATCAGAAATCATAGTTTGGGAACGCAATAGTCTTTTAGGTGGGCGCGTTATGTCCAGGTACAATTTCGTGTCGGAGAGGCTCAGAGAATATGCAAGACTGACTTGTGGGTTAGGTCGTTCCCAAAGCAACGTGAGATTCATGTGGACATGGGAGCACAATATTGGACGCCAAAATCTGCACATAATGAAAAATGTCGCCAAAAGTTGATGCAGAGCGGCTACTTAGTGCCATTTGCCGAGAGTGCAATTGCACAGGATCCATACAAAGGATCTGCCAAGATGCATTGGGTTTGTCCCGATGGTAAGGGATTTCGAGCTGTAGTAGAACATTTATTGGAAGGTGAACAGGTGATTTTGTTGACATAGATGAGACGCGATGGATGATGATGTTTTTTCCGTTTATGTTTGGTGATCAGATTCGGAGACGAAGCTATCGACACATCTTTTCAATTGCTGGATGATAAACATATCCAAGTAACTACAAGTGATGGGGAGCAGGAGATTGTCAATGCACTGGTTCTTACGTGCCCTATTCCGAATGTGAGGACTTTGTCTTAAATTTAGCGTATGGGGCGTTGATTGACATGATGTTGTGCTTTCGACAGGTTTTGCCAATTTTGGACAAAAGTTGCTCGCTTTGCATCGCACCAGCGATTCGACGTGCTCTTGAGGATGTGAAATTTTCGCAACGCTTTGCTGCGGCTTATGTATTTGAACAAAAGGCGAATTCATTCGTGCAAAATCTGGGATGGACGGCCAAGTATGTTCTTCGAGACGAAAGCGACACCATTCGATTCATGTGTTGGGACCACCTCAAAAAGCAGACAAGCAAGTCAATGTTTCCTGTACTTCTCGTGCATACATCAGTGACTTTTGGGTCCACATATATGGATGATACTCGCAACAACGATGAGATCCTTGCCATGATCACTGAAGCGTTGCGGAACATTATGCCATCGCTTCCGACCGAGCAACATGCGCGTCTGCATCGTTGGCGGTATCTTTGTCGTGCTGATAAAATCTTATATGTTGTCGACTAATCACGACAATGCTATGTGTACGTAGAATCTCTCAAGTCTCGATGCCGTATAAAGATCCAAACGAAATCGAAGCAAACAGTCCTTCATCGTACCTTTTGCTTAACAGAAACCCACCAATTATCGTGGCTGGCGACAGCTTTCTTGGCTCTTATTTCGATAGCTGCCTCACCTCAGCCAAAGATGTTGCCGACTTGCTACTACGTAGTAGCACAACAACGTAGACTATAACATGCATCCAGGATATCGAATATCATACAGCTTCTATTTAGTTACAGTCACTTACTTCTCTACCTCAGTGTCCATCACGCATCAATCGGTCCTTATGGCTTGGTGTATATGTGGTGTACAAATTTCAGCTCCAATCTCTGATTTGTCGGCATTTCTATATTTCACTTGTATCGTCGCGGTACAGGCGCTATGGATCTCGTAGAGCTTAAAGGTAGAATGCTGCACATTTCTTGTCTTATTTCACCACAAAGACTTACAAGATCGGAATACTGGCAGGTTATCTACGCAAAAAGTCGCGCCACGATCGATGGCAGCGCCGCTACTTCGAGGCTACAACGCACTACTTGACGTACTACAAGGTACGAATTATCTGTCAATGCTTCAGTATTGATGCGATTTTAATGGTCAATGATGTCAGAGTCGAGAAAGCGAAAAACTTTTGGCATGCATCGATCTTTGGAGAACACAAACTATCGATTTTGTACCCACGGACGAAGACAAATTGGAGTTTTTCATTGCCATTGGCGAGCAATCCTATCTGCTTAAAGCTGACAGTCAGGACGATGCTGAGCGATGGGTTAAGGGCTTACAAGTACGTCAGCGCCGTCCTGAGGGCACGCCTTCCGAGGTCTTTAGCTTGCGTAGCGAACATCTGGACGCTGAGAGCGATGTCTCAAGTGACTATGGCGGTCGACGTCATCGGAATGCGTCATCCGACTCGGGTGGTCATCGCTCATCCTATTCACTATCTTATGGCGAGACGCAGAATCCGGTAGTTCCAAATGCTGCTGCTATAGCAAGACTCTCGCTGTCACATGCTGACGCTATTAATCCTGTGGTTCCGAACGCTAATTCGATGGCGCGTTTGTCGATACCCCAAGCAGAAGCTTCCGATCCAATTGCTCCAAATACTACTGCATCGACAGAGTTAAAATATCCAATGGTCAATAATAACCAACAAATCACGCGGTCGACAGTAACGACGAAGATTGCTTCAAAGACAGCGGAGGATGAAGTCAATAACAATGCACAGTGCTGTGCCCCATGCGTAATAATGTAAATTGCGACGCTAGCAGTGGCTGGCAGTGTTGGATCAGACGCCGCCCTGAAAATAGTACTATCGGCAAAGTCTTTGCTCTTGTACGACGAATCAGGTATCGACGAGCCACAGTCGCGTAGAGATTTGCTGCCTGTATTGCTAGCTATTTAAATATTCTAGATGTTTTACACAAAATACAAAATGTGTATTTTATAATGTTATAAATGCTTATCTTGGAATAACAAATATTCAACAGGAATGTAATACTTTCTCTTTTTCTTCGTTGAAAACAACGATTTCTGCCAATCGCTTTGAGCTTTGAATTGTTAATTTGAGACCGATACTTTTGATACGCAATGCCCTCAAATCTAGTGTTCGGCATCATGCATATTATACCTTCTTAAGAGGAAATTTAGGCTAACCAATGACGACGGCTTAGTGTGCGCTATGCACAGGTGACCCAGAATGCACAAAAAGGTGAGTACTTATGTGCATAGGTGTAAATGATGTCAAAGGCGTGGCATGCTTCGGTGCCCTCAGCCTCCCTCGTAGAGTGCTGACAGCATATAAGTAAGGATTTTTATTAGCTTTTCTAGATTCATGAGAATGTCCAAAAGGTTTGGCTTCATCACTATGGGTGGTTGGAAGGGCGCCTTTAGAGCATTTGTACTTCTGCCAACCGCCGAAGGTCTTTTTGGATTCATTCCTAGCGTGCCCAGAATCACAACTGGTTGCGTCTGGCTTGCTCTGATTTAGTGGACCTCATCTCTTTTAGCAAAGAGTAGGACATCAGCGGTGCTTGGTCATTATTCAAATATGCAGAGATAGGATGATGCCAATAGGCTGCAAGTCTTAGCAAATGCGAATGGTCGAATGTCTTGCTCACATTCTATACGTATAGCCATTCAGATGTCTAAATGGAATGCTCTTATCGGATACAGGAGCACTTAAAGAGCCATTCAGTTATCTATATGTGTGTGCTCTCTTCGGATACAGGAGCAATTTAAGATCATAATTAGTATTTCTGACATATTGTGCTTGTTCATTGAGTACCCTCATCCTACAAGTATCCGTCTTCAACACTAGAAAAAGAATATCCCCGTTTCGTATTGTTGACAAACTGGCGGGCATCGAATTCGGTCTATAAAATTGGATATTATACGATGCGCGAAATGGTCATCAATTCGTAGACTGTAACGTATGTACTATGTTATGTTCTATGTAATGTACGCAATATGTTATGTTCAATGTTATGTTCAATGTTACCGATTGCAATTCTACAGGGCCGTCCCATCGTGTCTACAGATGTTCACCTATCGTGTGGATT